TATATTTTTTTGTGTGTTGAATGTTGTGTGTATATATATATTGTTTGTATAATATGTCATTTGTATATCTGGAGAGTGTAACGAAAATAATTTCCCTCTGGGATTATTAAAGTATTTCTGAATCTGAATCTGAATCTGAATACCAATCACAGGTCATACAGTGAAAGCTTAACTTACAGTGAACAATAATAAAAAATACTGAAAACATATTTTCTGTTGTGCGACTACTAAAAGGATGCAACAATTAGCTGCTGAGAGGGCTGTACAGGGAGATCTGTCCGACACGCTGTGTCCAAAGCAGGAACATGAATTAAGATCAAAGTCTTAGATGGCATTTATTTCTATGTACATAAAACACTGATGCTCTGCAGCGATGTGGCTAAACTGGACAAAAGCCAGTCAACAGAAAGTATCGGCACCCTACCTCACCCTCTCTCTGTATCAAGCAACCATTCAGCCCCCGTGACACACACACCCACAGCTCCACACACATACACACACACACACACACACACACACACACACTTTCGTTGTGATTCAGTCCTTTCTGAATAACGGCTTCAGCTATCATCTGATTCATCTTGAGAGAGATATCTTTACACATGAAACTGTACACACAGTACATTTACTAAAGGTTTGCGTGTGTAAAAACGTGTGCAAACTTGACATGGGGTTAAAGTGTCTATAAATGGCCATATTATGTGAATGGGAAAATATGAAATATGAAACATGAAGTGTTTTATGGGGCAAATAAACTCGGAACTGGTCCACATTGAAAAGTATGACTGTGTATAATCCTATAATCAATATCTTGAATACATTTGACCACTAAATACCCCTTAAAAGATGTTTGACTGATTTCATCCAGCTTGTCCCGAAAAGAGGTCTTTGGATGTACACTTGAGACAGCCATGGCTTTGAACCAAATGAAAATTAAACTTTGTCATAGGACAACAGTGAAGACATCGTTGGAAAGGTCTTGACCTAGGGAGCAACATATGTCAATATGAGATTTGTGGGCGGTTCCTGCTCCTCAGGTGTGCCCTTTGAACCTTGTACCTGTGACACTTTTGAAGGCTTACAGTTCAACAACAAAATATGCTACAGACATGGGGTCAACAGTTTTGGAAAAGTATCGACCTCTACTATAATACCCGAAGGCAAACCAATAGGGGTGCCATTTACTAGTGTTGAAACCTATAAAAAACATGATTTCACCCTCTTACCAATAACAAAGATGAAATCTGACCAAACAGGTGTGCTCCCCACCCCCAAAAACCCATACGAAGTTTGCTAACTTCATGATCACAATTTTACACAATAGAGATTATACATCAGAACTACAAACTCTATGGCGCAGCACACTGTTGTGTATTGTAACTCGGAAGAAATTGTAGTTTCCTAATCCTTCTTCTGGATTAGGGTTAGGATGTTGATATTAGGGTTCAGAAAACATATATCCGCTCATTTTTCAACAGGAAAAGTATAACCCCAACATATATGTTTATATCGTGAGCTAAGATATGTTATAAAAAGTAAACATAAACATTTTATTAGTGCTATTTTTGACGTGTTTCCAGCTGTTCTGTCTCGCCAACTAAAAGGGGTGTGTTCAATGGCATAATGTGTTCAGTAACGTTTCAAACAGATATTCCTTTCTTGTTATCAAGCGTTAATATATTTTTTTATACATTTTATAATGTGGTTTCCAGTTACAAGAAAGGCGGTGCAGCTCAGCACACCTGCAATTGGAAGAATTAATAATAAACATTAGTAGTTTCAGGTTAATAGCAGTTGACTATTTGGCTAGTGAACATACCCCAAGGTGGTCCCAATCTAGTCTCAATACACAACACTGATGTCACAGACAGTAAAAGTTAAGTTTATTGAACGATCATCATTAAGCAGTACCATAAAATAACACAAATGACATTACAGCTCAGATGCTATAATTCAAACAAAACGCAGCTACGTGTTTTCCCACTGAAAATAAAAGGAATTGAAGCCATTGTGAATGAAAGTTGACAGCAACGTGACGTGGACTGCCGTGACACATACTACAACTAAGAATGAATTGTGACCATTAAAAAATAGGATTGGGAGCGACAAAAACATTCAGTACAGAGAGAAAGGCAAATATACACAACTGATATGATATATAGTATAAAGCCTAATATATTGTATATAAAATAAACATATCCGGCAAGTAAACATTGCAAAAGTTGTAAACATTTCCATGGTAACAGCAAGCTCCACCAATCAGACATCGCTGTTACACTTTAGGATTGTGGGTAATGTAGTGTTTCTCCACGAAGACATCGCGAATAAAAGATGTTCTTTTTGAAATATAATACGAATTCATTTCTTTACCTACGTCCTGTTGTTTTTCCTGTCATGTGTTAGGTTAGGATAGGTTGATATGCTAGGTGAAGTCATATAGTATACTGTATGTTACCTAATGTAGCCCATTTACAGTAATCTAGGATTTAGTGAGGTTACACAGACAGATACTGGCAGGTTGATGTTAAAAAATAATAGCCTAAAGCACTGTTTTTTTTTTATAAATACATTTTTCATGTTGTATAACAATACCCACCTGGTAATGGTAACAGTCCCATGTCATTTTTTCTGTTTGTGAATCTACCTTCTTAACATATTCTGTACTCATGGACTGTTAGGCCTATGTGAATGTGCATTTTATAAAAAATATTGCAATAACATTCTTAAAACAATGATATACTTTATTGTACATTTAATTTAACAGTAAACAAAGGTAAGGAATAATCAAAATCATTTATGTTTGACATTTAGCACACATGTTCCTCTTGAACCCACAAGCAGTGTGTGACCATCCATGGCACACCGAGCACTGTGACCATGATCGCCACTTCCTCTTCCTATTCTTATCTGGGTCGTAAAAATCTGCTCCACACACACTGCAGGCATTGCTTGTACCTTTGAATGGAAACCAAATAACAGATATCAGTTCATTCTACTATTTTATTACTATGACAGGATACATACTTGATAGTACTGTCAAGCATTAGTTTAACAGTAGTTCTCTATCTATAATTTCATAACTGCAGACCAAAGGACATAGAATGCAAAAAAAAAAGGCTATGTTGATGTGTCATGGTATATGGTGAGAGTAGATATATGAATATATTTCCATTTTTCATGTCATTGCATACATGCTAATTTTCCTAGGTTCCCTTTTTACAGTGGTTGCAAATAATTAAATACAGTATACAAAGAAATAAAATGTGTTATAAACTGAGTATAATCTGAGTGTTGATGTCATGCACAGATAATTAGATGAGATGTGCACCTTCGATAATGGGTACAGCTTCTGCTACAGCTTCCTCAACTGACTAATGTAGGGGCTATGCTGCTGTACCTAAAAATACAGATGTAGACAATTTGCAGATGTCTTAGCTTTACATACATTAATGAAATCACATTATTTTCTTCATGATGACACGGAGTAGTGTCATCATCACAGCCCACACATTGTAATGCATTACATTGTAAACTTTAGCCACGAAAGAAAGGAAGTATCCTAAAATTTGGCATTATAATGATTGATTACTATTCCCAATTTTTTTCTAGTAGTTCTACTAGTAGTAGTTCTACTTACCATTTTCATACATGGACTCAAATATTTCCTCCACTGTCATTGTCTGAGCACAAGCACCGGCAACCTCAGCTAAATGCACAGACACATTAAAAATAGATATATAAACAAACAAAAGTCATATTTAATTAGTAATATTTTACAGAATAGTGTATATTTGCCCATTTAGGACATTTTCCAGTTTAAAAAGGAATACATACTATTTGTGTCCATCACTACAGTGCTGGTGGGTTGTGATGGATGGGTGGTGGAAAAAAAGGTCACAAACAATGGTTAAAACGATGAAAAAAAATTAGTCAGGAAAGTGGTGCATGGCGTTAGGTTCTGAACCACATTAAAACAGTATAGTTGTAGCAGACGTGTGAGAAGTGGCTCCCGAATTACTTTTTATTTTCTACCTCATGTTTTCGGCATAAAGTTTGGCGCACCTTGAGTTGACTACGTGTACGTTAAGAAATAACTTTGCATAACTAAATGAGACCAAAGAGACGTGACCGGGGGCAAAAAACGACCGAGATGGACGAAGATGCCACAAGTGAAGACAACATGGCTACGCAAGCTAGCCCAAGCTCGGAGTTACCTGCTGATCTTGCCTCTCAGCTAGAAGTGGCGGTGGCATTTTGTGTTCAATAGCCATTCCAATCCTTGTCGCTGTGGGTCGTTTAGCTCCCCTTCCATGTCATGGATACGTTCTTCGTAGGGAATCAAGAGACGATTTCATCGACCCCGTTCCAGGGATGGCCCGAAATTGGTGCCAATGCCTCGGCCGAGAGCTTTTTTTCAGGAAGGGAGTCTGTTGCTGTGCGAGGTCGGACAGAAGCACCGAGTGAAGCTTGGAATGTGTGTAAAGGGCGAATGTGCACATAGGTGTAAAAGCCTTTGAGTGTCGGAAAGGCTAGAAAAGCCGCCGATACAGTACAGGTCCATTACATTTAATGTACTAATATATAAATATAATCTGTAATGTATAATGTATAATCTATAATCTGCAATTTATAATCTATAATCTGTAATGTATAATGTATAATGTATAATCTATAATAATATAATCTGTAATGTATAATGTATAATGTATAATCTTCTATACATGCATATAAATCTGTAATGTAAAATTATAATGTATAATTATAATATATAATATACGATCTATAATCAGTCTCTAATCAATACATTTGACCTTTCAGATGTGACGGACTCTGATCCTCTCATTGTTGGATGATTGTTTTTCGTCTTTCTCTCTGAAATATTCGTCCACACACTGCTCTTCAAACTCATGGAGGACCCTTTCAGCTCCTCTGGACCCAGGACCAGTTCTGAGGACACAAACCGGACTCATTAAACAGTTCCGACTCTAAGGGACAGAATCTGGTCTATGACGGACTGTGGACCGGGTCTTACGCCAGTCGTCTCTCCCGTCGTCGCGGTCCCCCTTCTGGCCTGCAGCGCAGCGGCAACAGGAGCTCTTCAGGACCGATAGTAGGATGTGGGGGAGGATGATGAGGGGGGGGGGCAGGATGGACGGTCGTGGGAAGGTCATGATGAGCTGGTTACCGCTGGAACTTCCAGACCTGGTTTGGAGATGGACTTCACCTCAAAGAATGTGTTCTGCGGAGACGAAGAGGAGGAAGAGGGAGGAAGAGGAAGGGTTTCTATTCACAGACTTTAGTTTTGAAATCATAAAGTCGCTTTGTTCTGGTGGTTAGCTTTGCTAGTTAACTATAGACATTTCAAAACTAAGTCTGTAGCGGAAAGTCGACTGACCCAAAATACTTTAAATCTCTAATCAAAAGGTTGTTTTGTCATCGGTTTGTGACATGTGAATGAATGAGTTCTGTCGATGGACTGTGGGTGAATGTGTCTGTAGTGTAAAAGCACTTTGATGTGGTTGGAAGACTGGGAAGACTGGAAAGGTGCTACACAAAAAATGTACATCTATTTACCATTTATATAACAGTATATTACAGTATATTTACCATTTATATTACAGTATTTACCATTATACTTACAGGTCTATTTACAATTTATATAACAGTATATTACATATATTTACCATTTTTATATTTACAGTATTTACCATTTATAATTACAGTTGTTTACCATTTAATTACAATATTTACCATTTATATGACAGTATATTACAATACTATTTACCATTTATATTACAGTCTATTTACCATTATATTACAGACTATTTACCTTTATATGAACGAGTAT